GAAATAGAGAAGAGACTGTGGCATAACCACACTCAATTGAGGGGTTCTTTCTCCCTCTCTCTGTCTCTATTTCTTTGTTTCTTTCAGGTGAGCACACATATCCTTTGACAAAAATAAAATAAAATAAAATAAAAATAAAAAATAAAATAAAATTTAAAAAAACTTTAAAAAGTCACTTTTGAATCTCTTAGGAGGCAGGAAGCCCTGACTCCCCTGAGCTTCTGCCCGTGGCTGAGACTTTCAGGCTTGTAGACACACACTGAGTACTGCCTTCTCCTGTCCCTCCACTCGCACAGCCACCCCAGTCCTGGAACTGGCAGAGTATTTTTTTTAGTGCAAGTTTAGGATTCAGGGGATTGTGAAGACAAAACAGTTGTTTTGACCACGAAGAAAACAGAAAGGTCCATATCTTCTCTCTTTGCACTCAGGGGCTGCCTGGAGCTTTTTTCTTTTCCCTGCCTGCTGAAAAACAAAGGCTGCACCTGACAGTATCTCAGCGAAGGCCTGCACCCTGGCTTGTCTAGACTAATGAAGTCCAGGCCGGCCTCCCAGTTTGGAATTTTGCCTCCGGGCCTGTGTGACGGCAGCATCAGGCCCAGGCCCAGGCCCAGGCCCAGGCCCATGGGTTCAACAGCTCTGTGTAAGGAAGGCCCTCAAGATGATCTTAAACAGGATATTTGGCAGCTCTTTGTACATTGTCTCACTGATGCCAGGAGCAGTGTGGGGTTGGGCTAAGACTGCCTTCACCTGCACGGGTGGTGCGGCCTTGGACAACCTAGCCTCTTTGCCTAGTTTCCCCATCTGCAAAAGGGGGATAGCAACTGTACCTACCTCAGAGAATTACTGTAAGGATTAAACAAGCTAACACACATGAAATGCTTAGAACAGTTTCTGCACACAGTAGACATTCAATACATGCTAATTATTATTTAATTATCCCTTAAGACTGCATGGTAGTTGTTACTTTTTTCTATATTTCTAGATAAGAAAATAAGGCTCAAAAAAAAATCCACTAACTTGCTCTGCGTCGAGTGTCTAGGAGAGGCAAAGGTATTACATAAATTGTCATCTCTGAATGCCAAATTCTGAGTCCTTCTCCCCCGATGCTGGCCTGTTCCAACTCTAGGAGCCTGAAGGGCATTGGGCCAGACACTGTATGGAATCCCCCTCGTCTGCCCTTTCTGGGCCCAATCCGAGGTTACTCTTGGATTAAAAGTGTCCGAGGGATGATGACCCAGGAGAGTCTCTTGTGACTTTGCCCAGAACTTAGTCTTTAGGGGGGGGGGGGCATTTACTTGGGAGACAGGTGTATTTTTTTATTATTATTATTACTATTATTATTAAGCTGATAGGAACTCATAAATGGTGTCAGGCCAGCAGGTGGCTTGGAGGTTAAGGCAGCTGGATCCCACATAGCCAACTCCGCGGTTCAAGTCCTGGACTCAGCAGCTTGAAAAACATGCTGGGTATCTACATGTGCATGCCCAAAATTCCAAGAGGAGAGGCGAAGAAAAAGAAGTGCGGCATGACCATCCCTGCTGGGCTGATTTCTCACTTCCCTGTCCCTACCCCTGTCTATCTGGCAAGCACATGTGCTCTAATGGCAAAAACTACAAGAAAAAGAAGTGGAGTCATTGCTTGTTCTGGCCACCCAAAGGTTTTCTTTTTGAGTTCTGGGCTAACTGGACAGTGATGAGCATGTGGGTAGGATCCTCATGCCTCTAATTAACTTATTATACACCGTCTCGCAGTAAAGGAGTGTGGCACTTTGGGATGATGACAATAACATGAGTGCTG